TTAAGCCCGGCTTAAACTGTGCTTGGCCCTGAAGATGCGGATTCCTGAAGTCAGGAAAGGAGGCACCAAGAGATGAAGCCCACGAGCTGTTATTTCACGTGATCCTGAGCTGCTCGTACCTCAGTACGGAGCAGCCTGGGCTAAAGCCCGGCTTGGAAAGCTCTTAGAGGAGGAGGATTTAGTTGGAAGCTGCATCTCTGCTTTCCCCTCTTGCCGAGGGAGCTACTTGCTCGGAGGATTCTCCTCCAGCTGCGACTCCTCTCGTTCCAGATGCGTCGGCTCTGCCTGCCCCGGCTGCACACCCGGAGCCGAAAGCCATGGGTGGAGGGAGAGGCTGAGCCGGGTGGTAGGAATCTCTTCGAGAGGAGGAACCAAAGCTCTGCTAAAAATAGCTGGGGAAAATTCCTTTCCTCTTGCTGTAGAGGAAAATCCTGTCGGGGAGGCTGGAGCCCAGCTTAGCCGGTGAGGCCATCCAAAACATGAAAGCACAGAGCCGAGCCTTGTTTTGGAAGCGGGTTTTGTGCAACTAGTGCCCTTAATCTTGATCTGCTGTGTTGTTTGGGGTTTTTTTTTAAGACTGACTTGGGTGCCAGCTCATTGTTTTCAGGAAAATTGGGTTTCTGCTTTAAAAATGTCTTTGAAGAAGCAGTTTTGAAATCAAACACAGCGTTTCTGGCTGACGTAGGCATTTTTTTACTTCACTCTGGTACCGTCAGTGAGTGTCGGCTCCGCTTCAGTGAGCTGGGGAGGAACGAGAGGTCTCAGGGCTAGTGGGAACCCCTTGCTCCTGTCTCTAATTCAGCCCAGTGGAGATGAAGCCGGGTCTTGTGGAGCCATGTGAGGACCTGGACCAGGTGAGGAGGGATGGTGACCTCGACCAAACCCCTTCCTTGGTGCCCTGGTGAGCAGGAAGCTATTTTGACCTGATGCTGAAACGTTACCTGTTCTGCAGGTAAGGCTGCCCCCCCGGCACGTCAGGTTGTGGTCTCGGATGTTCAGCTCCTCGGGGAGAAGGGAACGCCGCTACAGCTGCTCTTCTGGCGGTTGCTTTGCGGTGAGATCGTGCACTGGGGAAGCCACGTGAAGCTGAGACACAAAGCTGAGCGCCGCTGGCTCTGCCAGCCCCAGGGAGGGAGCTGTCAAAGGAAACTTCGCGTAGGAAGAGCTGCAGGTCCCCGGGTGCTCTTTTGCATCCTCTTTGCTTCGATGTTCCTTCGGCTTCGCCGGCAGGTTCAGGGTCTTGCCTGTGGGGCTGAAGCCTGCTGCCACGTCGGGGACTCGTCTGCTTGGATGACGCTCCTGAGACAAAACGTGCTCTGCTCGCTGGAGGAACCTTCCAGAGTCTTATTTTCTCGCCCTGAGCGCAAGGGGCCATGGGGATGAGTTTCCAAACGCCGCTCTGGCCAGCCTGGCTGCTGACAGGGAGGCCGTGGATCAGCTCCCAAAGTCCCTTGTTCCAGGGGCTGTGGATGAGCTTCCAAGGTCCCTTGTTCCCCCAGCCTCACCCTGGCAGGCGTCTGGGAATCTCCACACGGCAAGACGAGGACGCTTCACCGTGACCTTGAGTAGAGGATC